GAATCACTAAATGCAAGCTCCACTGTCACCTGTGGAGCTGTAGGGCCACTGTAAGGAAGCAGCTGACTGGATTCATCCCAACTCTCTGTCTTTTTCGACAATTGTGCATTTGCTTGACGTTGGAGAGGTCAGATTAGAAGCATTTCTGACTTTGCTTTTGTATTTTGTCTTCGCCGATGAACCCCTTGGTCCCTTCTCTTCCATGTTTCAACACCTATCAGGTTCTCTAAGTTCCCTTGGAAGCAGTTTCAGAGATTGGTGGAGAACGTTGCAGCACCCACTTCATAATGGCGCCAAATGGCGCATGAGTCAACAATGAGTTTTGTACAGCCTTGTTCGCTGATAATGATGAGCGTACCGGGGCTTGACCCTCTGCCAGTTGTGGAAGTGGGTAAGTGACAAAAGTGGGTGACAAACAACTGATACGAGCAAGATGGTGGTCTTGTCGCTTGCCCACGTCAGCAACTGATGGAAAACAGGTTTAGCGCTGCTCCGAATCCATGCTTCCTGACACGATCCGCAGCTAATAAGAAGGTACGCTATCACAGCCGAGCCTTTAAAGGTGCCGTCCGCGATAAGGAGCACAGGTAATGGTGTTGAAATATGGAAAAGAAGTTGTCAAGTGGCTCGTCTGTGAAGAGAAAATGCAAAAGGGTACGTCGGCAACGCCTTCAGTGGGGCTCCTCCAGCCTCAAACAGTTGTGCGGATAGAAGGCCAGAAGACCCCGTTTTGGGACAATACCAGTCGTATGATTCCTTGCAATGAACCCTATGATTCCACGAGAGACAATGGAGCAGCCGCTTCATGCTACCTTTCCGGCCGCACCGCTTTTAGCTGGAAGCCGTACACATGAGGAGGAATCTGGAGGCGGAGCCACTGGAAAAAAGGAGGTACCACTGAAGCAACTTTACTCCTTCACTTCGTTATACAACTTTCCGCCGCGAAACTGGAACAATGTTGTCCATTGCGGATCACTCTATCCTACCCAACTTTTCGCAACTTCGTAAGTCATCACGGAAAGCTCATTTAAGGGAGCAAGAACTGCGTAGTTGAAAATATTAGCAAGGCAGCGGACTGTTCTCGTTTCCCTCACTGCTTCCAGGACAGTAAAAGTCTGCATATGCATACTCCACATCCGGGAAACGGAAAGGGTTACTGTACACTTCCTTTAGGCATGGCGGAATGTGCGTTGCGGGTGGGTACCATTTCAGACAATTGTTGTTGTCTTTTGCCAAGAAAGGCATGATTACAGTTGTTCAAAAAACAAAATTCTTTTTTAAATACGCAGCCTCTGCTGCGCTTTCGAGTACGCACGCATCCACGCCCATTCCACCTATGGTACGTGAAGTACATGTTAGCGCGGTGTACTTGAAGTGCAGCGATCGCAAATGTGACTGAATTTTGAAACGTTCTGACTTATACTGAACCATCGAAAAATACATGAGTTTTTCTTTCGTGATCTGTTGTGTTTTTTGTAGTTGGGCTCTATTTCGATACAAAGTTTGATCAATCACCTTTATACAATCTTCGTATAATGAGACTTCAACATCCTTAAATGTACATACGTGAGAGTAATATGTGAGGAACGGAATCGATAAAGAAGTAGACCTTCCAGAAGAAAAAAAATAAATACCAACTCTCAATCTTCCTTGAACTTATTGAAAAACAACGAATGGAGGCGTTCAACATCAGTGTGTTTAACATCAAGTGGTGAATGTCGGTGTGTATAGAGAGGAGAGAGAATTTTCATGACAACTTGGACACACACCTAGAATGACATCTGCGATACCGTATCACTTGCGAATACCGTAGTCGCTAGTGAACCACAAGAACGTTCAGCTCTGATAGACTCATCAGTTCGAAGGTACTGGGGGCAGATTCGGTTGAGTGACGGAAAGGCGACGAGGACGATCGGCTTCTTCCATGGAGCTGAAAATATGACATTCCTCAATCAAGAGGGGTGGCAACCTCAAATTGACAGAAGTTTAACAGGTAAGGTGAGCCGCACTTTTTCATACAGAATCGACCCCCGTCAGCGAGCCAAATATGACCGTATAGTTGTAAAATCCGATTTCCGTGGTACTGTGCTAGAAAAGTTTCTGCGGGCTGGTCAATATTGGTTTTTAATGACGGTGCAAGGAAGTACGTACCGAAGGAATAAGAAAGAAGGTTGACGGACGTTTGGCGCTGATCGAGATCCCCCTCCCTTTGGGACGAGACCCGAGTTCTACTTCCAGTGGCGACTGGATGACTCAAATGGGCCGGCCTTCTGTGTAGCCTTTTCGCGCAGACGCTTGGGAGTGTAAGAAGGTCTGGGTTTGGCCCTCGCCTTATACCCCCTGACACGCCCCAGAGTCTACAGCAAAAACGACTGGGCAAATCACTGCTGTATCCCACCTGGGAGGTGTAGTATTAATTATCCAGGCTCGGGGTGATGGAAAGCTTGGTCGCTCGGGTGGGAGCCAATCGCGGCTTTGGCCCTCGGACCATGCGCGTGAACTGAAGCACGATCCTAGATTGGACAGGTCTCCAAAAACGCTCTGCCCTGACGGTTATGTTGGCCCCCGATGCATGAACGCAATAAGCTACGGCCTCATTTCACGCTTACAATGTTTATCGTTCAATTCATTTTCTCGACACATTGATGTCACCTACCCCTTATCAGCTTTCTTGTCACAAAAAAGGTGATTATAAGCTCACTAGGCATTAAAAATCATTTCTGTTGATGAAATATTGATTGCGCGTAGCATTTAACAAGGTCGTCTAACGCTGATTGCTACTTTCTTGTCGCAGTAGAGTTAATTACGTATACTTGGTAATGTAACCATTCGTCATCTGTTGAGCTAGGTATGGGTAGCCTAAAATCAGCGTTAAATTTTCGTTGAATCGCGGGCACTATTGACCCCTTCCAGGATCGGACCATTGTTTCGACTGAGGCTATTTCCTCAGGGGCTGAATTCCTGCCTCCAGAATAAGTTGGACCGAATATTACATCCGCTCGGTACGAAACCGTCCGACACTCACGCCAAAATAATTCAAGTCACCCGACTCGCTGAAAATTTGTCCCCGAGAGCAGTTCTACTGGCACCAAAGTGATGCTCAATAACTATCAAAACATCAGACAACCGCCAACTTCAAGAACAAAACGAACGAAATTCTTCCAAACCTATAGGTTTGGAAAAAGCGATTACCTTCCGGGTCGTGTATTCATATGTTCGTTCAAATGAAATTTTTGGAAAACACGCTGACGTTTTTTTTTTGAGATCTGCCTTTCAGAAAAGGAATTTACTTCCCTATTTTGTTTTGCTGGAATGTTTATGCCTACTGAATTATTGGGTAAAATGAGTAAATTCCATGCAGGATTTCTTCAAGGGCTTCGTGTATTGCGACCAGGAGGGTTTGTCGTGCTTGCCACTTTGGCTTCACTACGAAACGCCAGAAATTTAAAAATATCTGGGACCTGTAAGCCATGCTGAACCAAGTTCACGTGCCGTGAAATGTGCACGAGGCCGTAAAATGTTGCATGTCTAAGGTCATAAAGATTTGAGGCCCAGTGGCCACTCGTTTATGACTTTATGCGCAAATATAAGTCTCAAATTAAGATATGAATCGTGTGATAAGAGCCTTATCAATGTTTCCACGAAAGACAGCGTTCTGAAGGAGCTACTTTCGCCTCTCACCCTATTCAAACAAACGAGTACCATGTCGCTTCAAAATTAAAACCAATTATTGTGCGTGTGTCGATGACGTGGTACGAACCAGTAGCTTGCGCAACTTGAGAAAACCCGATACAAAAAAAGGTGAAAGATGAGAATTTAATGGTGATTTTTTGTATTAACCTCATTGTGGGCGGAAAATATATGTCCCGGAATGGTATTCTTGAGAACCGAACAAGTAAGACTGGCAAGCGCGTAGTCTTTTTCGCGGATTGCTGGGTGTGTTGGAGGGCTAGGTTTGAGGCGGCGCCAGCCAGTTTTCCACCACTTGTTGTCGCTTGCCTTCTTCAGCAGTTGATTGAAAATGAGTTGGTACCGAGCCGGTCCCACCTCCCCTCACATCCCCCAGCAACCGCCGCAGTGAACAAGACTGTGTTGGAGTGATGAAAGAGTGAAGGTTCGGCGAACTCGTTTGGATTACACCACGTATTTGACCTACACTGGGGAACCTTGTGGAACTTGAATATGATGAATACTTTAAATTACAAGTCAAATTACGTGTTTATGCGTTGCTTTTATCTCTCCCTATGACTTTATGTAGTAGAACAAAGGAAATATGGCGCAGCTCTGTCAACCAGTTTTAAGGTCAACTTCCACCCAATCAAGCTTTGCATCGTTCTATAATATGTCAGGCTTCTCTGGGAAGACAGCGTGCATGTCAATTATAGCGCCAATCACTTCAGCAAGAAAAACTATTCTAAATAGAATCGGGACGCGTGGCGCATCTTGAAAGGGATTTATCGGTCCCAAAAAAACCATTTATTCTTTCATGAGCTTAGGACACGTTATAAGACGCCTGGCAGATAATTGGTTGACCTGAGCAGATTCGATCTGGCACCTCATTAACAAACACTTGTTAACGAGCTGACATTAGCCCATCGCCAATTACGCGTTTTCTGAAGTCTTTCCAACTTCCTAGTCCGAAAAAAATTCTCCAGTATTTAGCTGTGGACAGGGGGAGGGTATACGAGGCAGGCGAAACGGAAAAAACGAGACCTGCAAACATTTTTCTCGAAGTCAAATCAAAGCAAATTTGACCCCCCCCCCCAGGACCGTTTCTGCCTGGTACAGTGGACCATTACACAGGAGGAAGAGATTGATCTACTTTTGGCACCTCTTACTCCGGCAAAGAACCTCGATTTGCTTTTGGGCAGTGCCAGACAATTGAAGTAACCCTGAGTTCTTACAAGAATGAATATCAGAATACCGCATTTTTTTCTCAAAGAAAAACAGGTCCAATCACATCTAAATGTTATTCATTATTTAGCCCAGGGCCTAATCTCTCACAAGGGTTTGTTTGCGATCTCGCATGAGGCGCCTTGAGTAAATAAATACCTGCTGAGGGTCCGTTGTCGTTCCATTCCAGGAATTGCGACACCCGATAAAACACCACATCCTTTGCACAAAAGAATGAATGAACGAGCCATATTATCCGGCTGGAATCGGTTTTCATTACTAAACAATTCGTATACTTTTGCATTCAATACAGTATTTAAAGCAGTGGCCACAGTGGATGGGGGCGGGCGGTTGCCGACAACGTCATAGGTGGAGGGGCTGCGAGAAAGCGTTTGGCCACATCCTCTCAGTCCTCCAACGAATGATGTTGGCGTGACCGTTCTCCCCCAGTCATCGTGCTCATTTCCTTTGTAGGGGCAGAGTTATTTGAATCACTGCGCTCCCCTCATTGGTGCATTCCTCCACTTTGCTATATTAGTGGAGTGCCACACCAATGAAGACAGCGCACGTGTCTCAGTGACTCGCCCATGCGACCAGGCAAAACGGTTATAAAACTGTGGAAGAAGAATAGACGGAGAAACAATTATGAAAACTGATATTCTGTTCTAAGAACATTCGCCAACTTTCAAATGAGCATGTAGCATGCTTGTGATTGGCAGTTTCGTCGGAAATGGGCGAGGTACCAATCACAGGCAGGTTCTGTACATATGACTGTAACGCGCTTTCAAGGGAACTCCGTCATAATGAGTTTAACTGAATGCTGCTCTGTCGCTCAGACATCGTACTCTGTTACAATAAAGCTGACATCTACTCAGGAAGTTGAAACTTACAGCTTCCTGGAGCACATCAGCAACGTTGTCTACAACCAGTAGTGTAGTTTTACGTCGATTCATACTTTTCTGCGTCGTGTATACTGTATGCAGATGCGATGCTTTTGAACCAGAGACTAACAGGGTATCCACACTAAACATGCAGCTATTCTGAAGCGCTGAGTACTACCGTAACTTACAAGTATTACCTGTCCAGTTTTGTTCCAATAGAACCAGATAAGTCTGTCCTTTTGGTGAATGATAGCAGATATTTGCTGAGATTACGAGGATTCAATGTACGTTTCAGTTCATCCACGTACATTTGTCTATCCTTTTTGTTAACCTGAAAAACATATAGCCGTCGAAAATGCCCCAATGGCTTCTGGCAGGCAATCGGCTTTTCATTCGGTAGGGTGGACGATAGTGTGACGACGTCCGTGGGATATGGCATTTCATTAATAATGTTTGAAATGTTAGTGCACGTCATCACTATCGACCAAGGTTGAGCGGGAATCGTGTTCATAACCCTTGGGAACTGGTCCACCAAAAATCGGCGCAAAAGTGCCGCTTAGCGTGCGGCGGAGCTAATTTGGTACCACTCACGCTTCCTCAGGTTATCGTGGCATCGCGCGCAAACCACAGCTAATCCTAGCTAAGTAGCCCAGCAGAGGAAGCTGACATCAACTCCATTAGCTCGTGATAGTCTCTGTAAGACAGCGTTTTCTTTTTTCACGGCCCCATCTCAAAAATTTCCAAATGTCGAAATTCCAAAATTCTGCAAGTGGTCGTTTCCCATTTCAAGTTATTGAGAGCCCTCCCAGATCACATTACTTACTCAACTGTGCTACGTACACTCCGTATCCCCGAGGTAGAGAGGGAGGAGCTGCATACTCCGTCACGTTCGAATGAAACACGCAGCCATGCGCCTCTCATCTCCGAGATACATAGTGTAAGCTTCAACGGCCCAATTGATTCGAAACAAAAGTGCTGTGACGAGTCAACTAGCTAGGAGTATTTGCTGATTTCCGGCGACGCTGCGTTCCAAATGCACTCACAAGCCTTCAAAGGTGCAGGGCACATCAACCTTTTGGCTTAATAAATCCCCTTTCCCATTGTTTTTTTTACGGTGAGACCCTCCCCCCCCACAATACAACCAGAACCATCCTCTCGAAATTTCTCGAAACTCTGCCGTCGAGCGAAGGGGAAGATAGATCCCCAAGATCGGGTAGGCGTGGCTGCGTACTTGATTTTAAAATGGCGGCGGCCCCGGTTTCCGTGAGATATTGTCATTTTGAAGCAGTCGTACCCAAGTCTACGTCTAATACAGGACACGACAGCAGTTGTTTCAAACTGAAGTATCGCACGAGAAACCCGTCCTATGCCATTCTCAAAAGCCACGCCTACTCTGTCTCAGGGATAAGAAGTGTACCTCTATTCAACTACGAGAAATCGTGAGTTTGCCGCGTCGCCGTCTATGAGGTATTGATTGCGCCCGAAATCCGAAATATTAACATCCACGTCATCTAGTCAGGAAATGCTCCTCTAGACTGCGCGCGATACCGCGACCATCCTCCTCGAGGGGCGGACACATCTATGGGAAGTTTGCGGTGCCAGAAAACCCTCCCAACCTTTACGGCGAGCACTTCATGCCCTTAAAGGCAGTGGGCACGATTGCTGCGCGGGTGATAGTCGCCATCCTCATTGGTGGAAAGGCTGAGTGTGTGAACGAAAGGTGGCGAAACGCCCCATCGCAGCCATAGCCCTTCCGCCAATAACACTGGCAACAATCACCCGCCTCCAGCAACCAGTTGCCTGTCAAGGATGTCATTCCAACGCTTGAAGGGGCAACTTCGGCGTGCAAAATCCCGCCCAACCCAGGTACCGATGAAGAAGCGCTAAAACCACACCAATACCAAAATAAGCATGCAAAACAGAAAAATGCTAGTGTACACATGCAGTGATTAGAACACATGTTACAACTAGGGTGGCCACCACAAAATGACATGAATAAACCGGCTAAAAATAAGAGAAAAGAGAGAAAAAACTGAAATCAATGCATGTTCCAGATGACTATGCAGGGAAAGTCAAGCTTCGTGTGTGAATAAGTGATTTGAACTAGTAGCGTTACTCAAAAAGCTAAATAACAAACTTACGTCAGCAGCCTGTAGCGATCGTTAAACAAAACCGAATTAGTCTCAACATATTCACATCTAATTCAATCAATAGTAATAATAATGCACGTTATTCAAAAGGCATTCAAAAATATGAGCATATGTTTAAAAAACGAAGAGTAAAAGCAAACTAGTAATTTGTATACTGTAAAACATTCAGCTAACTATTAAATTTGAAGAAAAACTTACAGTGCCGAATTTATGCGTAACGAGATATTCCCATGCTCCATCAGTCATAATGTCATTTTCCAGGCGCATATTGATAACCTAATATTGAAGTGTATTACATTTCTTGGAAGAAATATTTGTAACGATTTTATTTATAATACTCACTTTGTCCTTACAGTACTCTACAATTCCTGCTGTCGTTGACGTGCAATGTACTAGAATCGTTCCAAGAATTCTGTTCGGATTAGCCATCTAAAAAGCCATGATCCCTTTTACTTTTGAAAGCACTTTAATCAAGTTGTATGCAGGGGGCTGAAAAGAATATGTGCTACTGTGTTATCCCTGAACAAGAAAGCAGACGAAAGCGGTAGAACCACACCGGATGAGGCCCATCTTTTTCTAAGTGCGAGGCAAAGATTTGTTGGTGATTCGAATGAGGGACCAGACAAGAGGAGCGAGAGAGCATAAGAATCAGCGAAACGGCAGGCACCGACCCGGCGCAGAATGATTCGTGCAGTGGTGGAACTTCCTTACAAATAGGAAACTGGCGGCTCGACGTCCTTCCCTAACAAGTCTGATGCGAGACTTGTACCTCATTACTGAGGATCACAATAACAGCAATGGTATTGTTCCTTGGATCTTACGCGGAGTGTGCCTTTAAAATCTTCATAACTGAAGAAAAAAAATTGAGATTACTCACCGCAAACCGACACAAGATGTTGGCGCCGGCTCCTTCGCCAAAAACGATGCATGACTGAAATTTGATGACTTTTCTGAACTACAAGTGGAATATAGACAAATATTTAAAACACTGTAGAGTAAGTCATAACCGGAGAGGGGAGGAACAGCATCGTGGGAATACAGGGATTCGTCATTGGTCTTTAGGGATGGAATTAGCCATATTCGGTTTTTTGAATACTTTTCCAGTGGTGATTCTTACTGTTTTAAGTGGCCCACATGGTTTACAAACTCATTAAATCAGCCAACGATAATCTGTGTGAGGGAGGCCTGGACTGGAGGGCAGCCAGGGTAGCCTTTTCCACCGATGGTTGAGTCAGCAGTAAGTGGTGGAAGATGCTGCACCAGTTGCGCTCCATACAGGTGCGTAGTGGCACTCTACGCTCTTAGGCGAAAGAGTTGTAGTTCACAGATTAGCCGATTCCAATATTCGATCAGAGTGGTTTTGTGCCTTCCCTTTCCGTCCCAACTTCATGGATATTGGAAAGAGGAGGGGGTGTGGTCCCTCTAATACAATACTTCCCACGGCCCCATGGTGGGGAAGATCGCTGACCGAAGAGGTATTACGCCATCAACGCTTGTTTCGCCAACCACAGTCGTTCACTTCATTCTTGTAACAGGAGTGGTGCAGCAGCAAGCCCTGTTGCTATCGCGAGCACGCATCACGGGCTGAATTTTGACTGGGCCTTTCGATGTGAGGTCTTCAATCCCTCCGGGAAGGACGCCCCAGTTTTTAATTTCAATGTTATCGATTGAACTGTATTCGAGACTGAGTCCCACCTTAACGTCAAGCTTATCAAGCACATATGTCAAATCTGAGGCGATCTGGTCGAGCGTTGGAAATCTGCAATTTTTTCAAATCAATAAAAAATCCGAACAAACATTTTAGCATCAATACAGACATTTCAGGGATGGAGGTAGGTGGGGGGTGGGGGTAGAGAAACCCTCTTATGGGTTGACATCAATAACCTAGAAGACATTGGGCACTGGAGCCCTCACTGAAACCCTCTTTAATGAGTACCACGATCTCTACGGAGGAGAATCTGCGAAATTCGCTTCAGGTAAACAAATAATTCGAAGCAGACTCGTCTTCCAAATTAAACAACACCTTCTGCCTATAAATCGTGTAGCTCTAGTCCAATTTACTCTGACGTCTTTGAAGTACTGTAGATATGCCATTGCCGTCCCATGAGTTTCTATGATACTACGAAATGTTGCGAGTTCCTCGTCTGCGGAATTTCATCAATTTTTTTAAATAATGGATAACATTTAGTGCTGGGATGAGCCATGAAACGTTTATGAGCCAGAGAATTTGATCAACTCTAGGAAAGACAGAAGAAAATCGCTGAGGATGAGTTGATTCCTCGGTGCAAAAACTGGTCTCGCGTCCTTCAGAAGTAGTAAGCCTTTGTAGGACTCTTCAATAGGTATCATATATCTAGAGAACATTACAAAACGGCCCGTTATACTGGTATAGCGCCTGCCTCGGTCACAGGTAAGCTCTGGTGGATACAGCCTTGTTCGCTGCGGATGATGAAGCATCTCAACGGGTATGACTTGGCGCAGCAGCTGCAGACCGTTTTTTTTTCTTCCTTCGGCAATCGGAAAAGACTGTATCATACCATCCTATCAGTTTTTTTTCCACTAGTTACTCTCGCTTACCCGCTCAACAATTGGCGCCGCGCCAAACCCAGACCCGCTCGCCTTTCATTCGCAGCCAGCAAGACTGTAAAACCCATACGCCACGTCAAGCAGTGAAGCATAGAAATGGCTTGGATTAGGCTAATAGCGCTTATCTCCAAAGTACTGGTTATGATTCTAACTTGATGAACTGTTTTTCCGAAGTTCAAGTTACTCCCGGAAGGCATTTTCAATCAAAAAAAGAGAGTTTGCAATACCCTTCTCATTGCGCTGGCGGTCATAAGGTCCTATTTGCGTGTGCCATACCGCCTCACATGGCCACTTTTGAATTCTGGTAAGAGTCACGAAAACGAATTTAATTTTCAAGCTGGTTGAGAATTTCAGCAACAATTTTTAATTAAAGGCGAACAGTCGTTAGCACGTACTCTCCAATATAATCAGCTGCATTATCCTCTTGTCCAGGCACACATACATGAAGGAAGATGGATTTGTTTTTTACATCAGTCATAGATGGATGATTCACGAATCGCACGAACGTCTTATCTGAAATTTCATCGATTTTTCAGGAATATTTTCTGTGCTGGACAGGAAAAATATCGTTTTCTCCTATGCGCTACATATTTGAGGTACTTCAATGACATTCTTCAATAGCCTTCTTCTCAGCGCCCAATTTCCGGTGCCCTAATTCAAAGATTCTGACACAGGTGGTCGCTGGTCTCTCAAGTAATGGCACATTCACGCCTCGCTCCCACCGCTAATACGGATTTGTGGGACTTCTAGCTCGATCTCATGCTCACTGAAGTGCTGCTGGTAGTAATTTCCAAGGATTGACTTGGTGGCAAATAAGCTTCTCTCGACCTCAGCATAGCGCTGAACGTGGTCCCTCGCGCTAATCTCTTAAGCTACACCACATTTATGCGCAGTTTTGGCGCTAGCGCTCACCGCCCGTCAGGGCCGTTTCCGGCATCTATTATTAGCGGAAGTCAACGCTGATGACATGGGCTTCCGCTAACTTTGGGCAGCTTGCGCTTTCGATACTTATTGATTGGACTCGAATCATATTGCGTGGAATGGATTTTAGCTATAGAATTACTCTTCAAATCCACGTTCCGAAGATTAGACAAAGGCTGAAGTGGCGAGATTTAATGCATGCGAAGGCATTCCGTATTCCGTAGTTAATTGTCCCCCATGACCTCATATGGACCGACAGACTTAGCCATTGCTAGCTTAGTTCCAGATAGAGAGTATGCTACGGGGAAACTTCAGAGAAGCGATCTGGGATAAGATCAGCTTCAGCAGGTACAGCGCAACCTCGCATCCAGGGCACACCATCGTTGAAAAATCCATTTCGAGCGGAGGAGCGAGCGCAGTGGATTGCAGTGAGGAGACGTCCCATTGCCCCCCCCCGTAGAATCCAGGCTGGAGAATTCATCACTAGCTCTGTTTCCATTTGCCTCCCGGATCGACCTCGGTGTTTCTGGTAGAGGGGAGGTGTAGGGGGGGGAAAGTATTAAGAGGAATTTTTTTGACTCCCTGCGATTTGCCGTGTTATGAGCGCTTTCTATCTCGCCGGCGCTAAGAGAGGGAAACAATACCGCAAATGGCTTTGGCAACGGCCACTAATTAAGTCTCAGCCAAAACGATTTCAGGGTGTAGACACCACCTCTACCACAACAACGAATTTGGCTCTGGCAAGAAGTCTGGTACCTTCTAGTACCTTAATTACTTTCTCCAGGAGCTTGCACGCTAGTGAGTCAATAATGTAAAGCACATACGCACGGTAGAGCGCTAGCTGCTGTGCATAGAGAAAGCTTGTGATCAGGAATACTACTCATCGGGTGTTCCCTTCACTTTGCACCTAGGTAGAGGATCCAGAGCGAGTGAGGGGAGGGGGTCGCCTGTGCCTTCGTGAAAATTTTTTTTGGGTGTTGACTTTTCTCGACCCTCTTTTCACCTTTCATGTATGCTATATACCCTCTCCCCTTCATCCCCTCGGCGGCAGGTTTTCCTCTTTGGATGGCGGTGGAGCTGTGGGGTGGGAACTGAGAAACCTCAAAGTGAAAAGTTTTGAGAAGCGGTAGAACGTTTGGGAGAAACGGGGGAAGGATGGGGATCAAGCGGCCGCACCAAGGAAATTTTGGAGAAGAGGCGGTAGTTTGCAAAAACTTCTCCCAGCGGCAGAACCTACCCCGCTTGTAACCCTGGCGACGACTGCTTTGGTAGTCAGCGCCACCGTAAAAGCCTCTTTTCTGCCTACCCCGAACCATGTATGCATAACATTTCTATACAGTAAAATAAATGTCGAGCACCATTCGAATTTCACCCAGGGCTCAACATACTGCCCTAAATGTTTCTGATACGTCCCCCAAGAAGCCCAGGCCGAGAATATGGATTACCCTGGAGAGGTTTCAGTTGTCGTCTAAAAAAAGATGCCTTAGAAAGAATGGAAGGAAGATAAATGAATGGCTTTTGCGAATGTCTTGACTATCCTTCATGAAGTCAAGTGCATGAATCACTAGGAGAAAGAGAATTTTTAGAAATCAGAAGAATCAGAAGTAAAAAATTTTACTACTCACAATTCGTGCCGACATCATGACAAGTAAGAATTATGGTTTTTCCATTGCGTTCTTCAAGATTCCCTTGCACATAGACATGCAATACTCCGCAATTTTGCGTTTGCACGGCTACCATCTGAAATGTATTATCGCTTACAACTGCATTTTTCGGCAGTAAACAACTCTGCGGAATTTATCAGCCCAGCTGCTATAAACATAATTATGGGAAAACAGTTGTGATACTCCGAGCGTCCTGACCTCCTTTGCAGTAACTACTTAACTTTACTTAATTAAAGGAAACTCACCTGAGTATCGTCGGTCATTCTGCTTGAACTTTCTCAATAGATCTGAAAAGAAAGTGGATATGCCATCTGAATGGATTCTAAGCTATTCAAAGAGAATAGCGCAATTTCTTGAGGAGATAAACACGCGATGAAACAGCAAGCGAAATTGAAAATGAAGGTGGCAGGAATCGGTCTTTGAAGGGATTCCTTGGCAAAGAGCAGAGAAGCTGAGAGGTTCCGAAAGAGGTTTGGGCTAGAGAGTTAGCCCAGTTTGAAGTCTGTGGGAGGTGAAGGGATTCCATTACAGAGGGAAGAGAAGCTTAGAGGGTTTGAGAGAGGCTTGAGGTAGGCAAGGAGTCTAGTTTGAAGTCTGTGGGAGGAGAAGGGATTCCATGACAAAGGGCAGAGAAGTTAAGAGGCTCCGAAAGAGTCTTGGGCTAGGCAGGCAGCCCAGTTTGAGGTTTGTGGGAGGTGACATTCCTTGAGACATAACGGAAATCCATGGTGCTTACGGAAATACTGAAAGCATCACATGATAGCTTCGACGAAAGCCATCTTCAAGCAGCGGCTATTTTCGGAACAGCAATCAAGGGATTGCAAAGCAGCCACGAAATGCGATCAGCACATTACGTTGTCTAGAGCCACTTACTAGATTAAGGAATGGCATGGAACGTTCTGAAGAGCTTAGTTAGTGCCGAGAAATGCTCAGAGTTAAGTAGTAACAAGAAGAGATGCAGTGGTAGTGTAGTACAGACGGAAGATCAATCGTCCAAGAATTTTGTTTGTCATGTTCAAGCCGATCAGCTAGCCCGAGTCGACGCGGCAAACAACCGTTGGTGTTTAACCATCCGACCGGGTCCATCATTAGATGGACCACTGGTCTCAGGTTCAGTAAAAGCACGTTTCGAGGTGAAGAGTTCCGAAAGTGAGTTCAAATATTAACGACAAGGTGGTAAATAGCTTAAAATCGAAGAAGAAGCAAAAGAGCACTCGGAAATACCCCTTATAAGATCCCATCTCGAAGCGAGCACACATCGAAGAAAAGGCATGCTTGGACGAGTCCTCTCCTGCATCATAAAGAGCTCTCTTCCCTTACTACGTCGACCTAACCATTCGGAATGGAAAGAGCTAGTGGCGAAACAATAACAACAACCAATCACCAGCTACCCGTAAAAAATGAACGCTAGGTGTGGTACGGGGCAGTAGGCGTGGCATCGCCCTATTCACTATCCGGTGATGCCGTTATCACTGGCTTTTGACCCGTGAAAGTGAAAAAACCTAGAAGCTTACGGACCGGACTTATCCAAGAACGTCTTCCGCACATCAATTGAACGCGGAATGTGCCTTACAGGTCCAGGTACAGGTCCTACGCGGATAGCGCCTAAAGACGCGGCACGGGCTGGCACCTACACAAGCACGGGTTAGCAACTATACAACTAGAACATTTTCGTCCCTTGAGAGCGCCCGGTTGAGGTTGAATGGTAGTGATGCCCGCATACTCTTTGGGACTCCGCCTCGTAACACTCAAGGTCCAGTTTTTGCTTTGATACTGGTGACACGCATCAGAATATGCACTCGGTGGTAGAGAATAAGCAAAAGTGAGAGGGCATAGACGAGCATCGTGTTGGCTATGGTTAAGCGAGTCGCTGGCAGCGCGAAAGCTCGGGCTGATAGGTAGTCCAACGGCACTCGGTTGGACTACCCTCCGGCCCCGTTCTTGCGCACTTTTGAGCGGAGGTGAGTGGCACGCTACTACAGCTGGACCCATTCACCTCGCACTGGCAAGGGTCAACGTTCACGGAGGTGCGTGTACAGTTTGTCTTCAAGTCTGAGGCAGTGGGCGCAAGGACTCGCCTGTGAACAAAAAAGAGCAAGAATCCTCCGAAAACCCCGAAACAATGGGCCTTCTCGTGTTAGATGATTTTTAACGAACATATGTATGAAAAAATGAGAGGCGAGAGATTAGAAGGATGAATGAACAGGAAACCAGCAAGTTGAGAGACACTAACTAATCCTCACGACGGGGCTGGACATGGGACTTCTGGACCTAAGTCGTGAACTTGTAGCCTATTGGCAGCACGCCATGGATCCACAAAAATAGTGCTATCTATAGGTCGGGACCCGATTATCTGACACACGAATCACAATTTCGAATTAGCTGTGAAAATGTGCCTTTAAATACGTGAACAGGGCAGAAAGACAACAAACGTCAGGTCACGAGATGTTTATGGTGTCGCGCCTGCTTGGTGAAGATTACAGATTCGCGCTTATCACATTACAAACAAATTTTCCAGTACATTTACGAGGGACGATAGCCATTTGTGTTATGTTCGCAGCAGCTCATGGGAATTTCAGCTTCATATGATCGTATGACTCAATCAATGACAGCCATCAGAATTCATGGATTTCAGTGTACGGGGGCGAAACGAGATTAAGTATACCAATGTGTAAGCTCCCTTCGTCGATCAATACACTATAGAATGCATGTGAGAACGAACCGTTATTTGTACGAAAAAAAACGGGGTTCTTACACAAGAAGTGGAGGGGGACAAAATACGACAAGAAAATTTCCGATTCTGGAGCATGAGGTCCAGTTTTTCAGAAGATTTTGAAAGAGCTACCGGAAAAATAGACTTGAGGAAACTGATTTACAGCACTAAGTAACCCTC